ACAAACTCATAAGGGGTATAAGTTAAAAAATTAACAAAATATTAAACGCTGATGCAATTACTGGTATCAACAGATGAGATATCAAATACCAATTTTATCTCTTACTTCAAAAGCCAGCATGTTACCGCCAATAAATTTACACTTTGAATGCTACAATGTTACCACTATAGCCTCATTACATAAAGTTTACACGAAAAAGTACTTGCAACTATCAGAGAGAATAATAATTAATAATCAGTCCCGCGTTTCATTCATCATTTTGCCATAAACTTCCCCATTACAGACTAAAAAGGTACAAGAAAAACTTATTTCCAAGAGCAACCACAGATGAAGACAAGGCATAACGTCACTTGAATTTTGTTATTAGAGAACAGAAATTAAGTCATTTCAGCAAATGAGTTTGTACTGAAATGAACAAGAAATCAACGACAAACTAAAAAGAATGAGAGTGAAGAATAATAAAAGTGCTACAAAATGGCAAAGTTGAAAACATTTGAATTCAATCAGACAACTTCAATGATTCGCCAACCGTGAAATATTATAATAAACTAAAACCCTTTATTACAAAAATTACGCAAAAAATGAGTTCGCAAACATATCAGCAACACGATTAATCATTCATCAGTCCCGCGTTTTGTCCATCCTGTTGCGTCTAGTGTCACTATTACGAATTCAAAAGGCGTACAAGTCAAAAGATTAACAAAAGTCTATCACTGATGCAATTAGTAATATCAACAGATGAAATAACACTTAAGTTTTTTCTGTTACCACAAAAGCTAGCATGTTACCGCCAAATAACTTTTACCTTGAATGCTATAATTTTACCACCAATAGCCTCATGACACAAATGTTTACAAAAAAAATTATTTGAAAGTATCAGAGAGAACAATAATCATGAATCAGTTCCACCTCATTTCATTCATCAATTTGCCACAAACTTCCCTATTACAGATGAAAAAGGTACAAGAGGAAAACTTTTCCAAGACCAATCACAGATCAAGATAATTATTATCGCTATTTGAATTTGAGAGCGGAAACCGAGTTCCTTGTACTAAACTTAAGACACCAATGTCAAACAATTTTAATAAAAATTGAGCGTTACAACTTAGTGCTACAAAATGGCGAAGTTGAAAACATTTCAATTCAATCAGACACAATTACAATGATTCGCCAAACATGAATTTTTAAAGTGACTTAAAACCCTTTATTACAAGCATAGTTTGCGCACTTATCAGCGATAGTGTTTATCATTGATCAGCCCCCCCCCCCCCCCTTTTTATTCATCATGTTGCCTCAGTGGCAAAAACAAGCAAATAGTCGCATAATGAGCTTCACAAAGGAAGAAAAAAACTTTAAAAATATGTGAGATTCAACACCCCCACGTCCCGGAACAGTCTTAAGTCTCGACTACTGCCCCACACCACCTACATATCTCCCTAATCAGGTCAGCAAAAGGAGTAAAAAACGCATTATTTCGAATGAGTCCAGTTGGAAAATAGTGAACTCGTACGATAAAAACCAGCGTTTGCTTGGTTTATCAGTACCTCTTTTTATTCATTAGTTTGCCCCATATTTCTGTTGCAGAAAAGAAGACAAGAAGATTTTCGAAATTAGATGTCGATAACGTTTTTCGTGACCTATACAATTTCGCTGTTCGATAGTGGATTTGCCTTCCTTTAAATGAAAGAAATGAACTGAATTTAAAAAAAAATCAATTATCAAACCACTAAAGCTCAAATTTGAAGGTGAACAAACTTCAATAAGTTTTTCTAGAAATAAAAAACAAACAAAAATCATCACGACCTATCCATTCACAATGTTCATTAACTCTTAGAAACAAAAAACTGGGAATAAGATATATTAGAAGTCATTAATCAGCCCGCATTTTGTTTATCATTTGTCCTCAAAAATGTACCAGACACACGCCAAGTTGAAGTGAAACAAACACTCAATCATGGATTATTACGAATAATCGCCAAGCATACTATATGACAACCATTCATACTCAAACATTCTTTATTACATACTATCATTACAAGTGGAAACAATAATCAGTATCAATCCCGAGAGTTTTTCATCATTGTACTTCAAACTTATCTATTACAGATTGAAAATATTTCATGGAGCAATTTGAGATAATTACATGGTTTCACCAAGCATGCTCCTTGAGAATCATTTTAATTTACAAATCAATAATTACAATCATTGCACGAGAATAGTAACTGAGATTATCAGAGATAATATTAATCATTGATCAGCCCCGCGTTTTAATTATCATGTTGGATCTAACTGCTCTATTACAAATGCAACAAGACTGCTCGTATCAGGGCGAAGCCCTGAAAGTTCCGACTGCCTTTTAACGTTTATGGAGCAGTAATAACATAAACAACATAAAAAATAAATAGAAATAAAATAAAATGAAAATTTTTTCTATGAAAATCATCCCTCCACACGCCATATAAAGTACAAATTAATAGATTTCGCTCCTTTAAACAAATCAATTATGGCTATTAAGCTTCTTACAACCAATTTGGAACGATTTCTAAGACGGATTAATTGGTTAAAAGGAGCCAAAAAACCTATTGGAGCCAAACGCTGGCGCGTTAATTGTCCCAAATTGGTCAAAATGGCCAAAACGGCAATCTTTAAACCCTCATAACTTTACGAAAAATGATCACAGGTGAAATATCTTTTCAAATTTAAGCTCAAGACCACAATAGCTTTCTAATGATGTAAAAAATTTCCGTCAAAAATGGCTAGTTAAAAAGTCGAAATTTGTCAGAAGAAAAAAAACCCACCCCGAGCACAAATATTCCGTTACTTTCGTATCGAAAGTCGGAACAATAAAGTTAAAATAAAAAATATAGGAATAAGAATAGAATGAAATAATTCGCCAACTATGCTGCCTTTTACCCCACATACTATGATTTTACCTAACATTGCAAATTACGCGCAAGAAATACACAAAAGAAAGATTTGAGACTATCAAAGCCAATCGCAATCCTTAATCAGTCCCGCGTTTCATTCATCATTTTGCCAAAAAATATTGTTCACCAATCCAAATGTTCACCAATCATAATACTGGGTAGTACAGATACGAAAGGCACTAAAGGAAACTATTTCAAAGGAGCGATCAAAGATTTAAACAAATGTTCACCAATCCTACCTTTTGATAATTCTTTTATCTTAAATTTCCTTATGGATCAAAAGACTACATCAGAGACTGTATCAGAAAGAACGAGCATCATTGATCAGTCCCGGGTTTCAATCATCCCTTTACCCTAAACTTCTGAATGGCAGAAAAAACCAGCTACTCGAAAGGAGTTACGAGCAGGCCATATACCCGCGGTCGGAAGGAAAATTGAATACCTTGTATCAGATAGAGTAACAATCATTCACCAAAACCGCAGTATAAATCGAACTTAAAAGAGTACTTGAAGAAACTTCAATGTGCATCTGAAATCATAAAAGAAATGTTTCATCAATGCAGCGTTCTAATAAGACTTGAAGTGCAATTCCTAATTATATATAAGCATCTCGCAGAGAACTACCATGAATAAGAAGAAGAGACCATGATCGGCTGGGTAGTGCCGCTTGTTTAGGAAGGGCTCGAGACGTGATTTGAACAACTACTGAGGCGAGTGTCTATTGCCGCTGATAAGTCATCTAAGCGCAAGGATCTAAGCCACCAGGATTAGGAAATGGGCAGAGAACATCGGAGCGCTGGAAGAAAAGCAGAGTGGATTCCGAACCTCAAGATCCACGTACAATGCAACGTCCTGAGATCAAGCGGAGAGCAAGATGATCTACGAACAGGAAGAAGTAACCCCGGGGGAGCGAGCAGGAGCCTTACTACTCGATAAAAAAGGCATAACCCGGGGTAAATTGACCCTTAATGTGGCGGATCCTTGTAAACCTTGGGATAGGCGACATGTACATGACCAAGTGAAGGGGAGAGAGGCAACGAGCGAAAGCTGGTAACCAAATGCGGATTGCGAGAAAGATGCGCAATTTCACACATCATCTTCAACATCTACCACGGGAAAGCCATCAAGGAAGCACATAAGAGACTGAGAGCTGAAACAGAGAAACAGCAAGAGTGCGGACTTGAATGGAAGAGGAAACCAGTAAGTCTCCCAGCAGCAGACCCCAAAGTGACCCTAGCGAGCAGTGCGTCGAAAACAATCAAGACCAGCGAATCTTTGACCGCTGATGACTCAACACCTAAGCTCAGATGTGGGCGTAAACGGACGAGAGAGAGAGAGAGAGAAAGAGATAAAAAAGAACCACTCACCAAAACCTGTTTAAATAGACCTTAAGGGAGCACTTGCAAAAACTTCAACGGTCATCTGAAATCAAAGAACAAAAGTTTTCTTCAATGCAGCGTTCTAATAAAAACTAAAGATTCTTACTATGCAGTTCCTTACTAGAAAAGAGGATAAACAGAGAAAATTAGAAGCTATCAGGGAGAGTATTAATCAGTAATCAGTCCCGCGTTTTAATCATCATCTTTCATCAATGTTTTCAAATTCTGAAATGAAGCGTAAAAAAAGAATCATAATATTTCACTCCCGCTTTTTATTCATCGTTGTACCCTAAACTTCAATAAAACCTCAAATTCTTGTCCTTCGTAATTTAGTGATAATTCATCAAAATTACCTTTAAATAACCCTTTTACTTCAAGCTTCATTGGAACAAGGATTAAATTAGCACAGAATGAAAAATTAGCACAGAATAAATCAGAGAGAAAGAGAGAGAGAGAGAGAGAGAGACAGAACAAAAAGAGAGTGCTGTTAACTGACGAGGTTTATTAATCATTTTATTTCCCGACCGGTTTTTATTTACCGGTTAGAAAAGCTGGAAATAATTGATCAACACATGAACAGTAGAGAAACAAAAAACTCCTTATTCCTGCTATTCATTAGTGCCGCTTTTCATTATTCAGCTGGATTGAGCTCAACATTTGATAGGCTCATCATATCGGCTAAGTGAATACTCACTGTTGCGTGCTTCTGCTCTTTCGTGGGTTCTTCTACCTCCAATCGGATTGGCCGACGAGCCAGCAGTGTGTTTCTGCCTGTTCGAGGTACCACCCGAGCTATGCTGGAACAAAACCAGTTCCAAGTTCTTGAATGAATCGGAGTACGTGTTTTCGAACATCCTCTGAAACAGAAACATTTGATATGATAACTTGACATTCGAGACTCGCTATAATTCCTCAAGAAATCGTTTTGTTCTTCCCAACATCATGATTGATGTCTTCTAGTGGTTTGGTTGAGCAATGTTTTTTTGTGGCAGTTTTGTAAACGGAAGGGCAATTTTTGCGTGGCTAAATTCTGCAATCACACTTCTGCGTGGCAAAAAAGCAGCTCTATAAAGTTAAAAAAGTAACAGTAGAACAAGCCTCGAATTAGTAAAAGTTCAACTACGTATCAGATTCAATCCAGCAACGTAGAGATTTAGAGTCCCACGCACTAGCCACTCATCCACGGACCTTTAATATGCATAAACACTAGCCAACAAACAAAGCAGATAACAGATACTATGAAATTTCGGGTCTTTTCTGTTATACGGCGCAAAAATGATTTTTTTCAAATTTTGAAAATTGAATCATAACGCTCGAATCTGATTGGTTGAAATAGGTTTCAGCGAAAGCAAATCTGGATATCCAACTATAAAAACAAGCTCATTTGACAATTTGATACTTTTTCGGCCGTATAACAGAAAATATCCGAAACTTCCAATGCTACAGCTCGTGAGCACATTTATTTGTAAGTTAAGTTGCAAAAAAAAGGTTCGCACTAATACACTACAGTCGCTAAAGCCCTCAAGTTCAACACAGAGGCGAAGTTGCACTTCGCATACACAAGCAAATATATGACCGGTAACGCTACTGGGAAAAACTGAATGAGCAAAATTTTAAGTCAACAAAAATTCTTAAGGGAAGCAAGCCAACTACGACCCATAGCAATACCAGTCACTTTGAAGAAGAAAAAATTTACCAATTGCACATGCCTTAATTTATAGAGCGGACGCATTTTAGCTAGTTTACAAAAAAGTTCATTAAAAACATCCGACCCTCTCCAGGTTCGAACCCTCTTATTTTGTTGCGGTTCTCCTTCCATACCTTTACGCTACAGATCCATGATACCTTGAAGCTAAAGTGCTATGTGTAATACAAAACTGCTCGTATCAGGGTGAAACCGTGAATGTTCTGACTGCCTTTTAAGTTCAATGGAGCAGTAATAACATGAAAAAATTTAATGTTAATTAAAATAAAATAAAACTTTTTTAATTTGAGATTTTTGTGAAAATCATCCCCCCACGCCTCATAAAGAACAAAGTGATAAATTTCGCTCCTAGTAACAAATCAATTATGGCAAATAAGCTTCCTTCAACCAATTTGGAACGATTTCTTTGACAGATTAAATCTCCGCTTACACGTCCCAAATTCACTTAAATGACAATCTGAACAGGTGAAATATCTTTTCAAGTTTAAGCTCAGGGCAACAAAAACTTTTGAATGATATTAAAAAATTCCGTCAAAAATGGCTAGTTAAAAATTCGAAATTTGTCTGAAAAAAAAAACCACCCCGAGCACAAATACTCCGTTACGAAAGTCGGAACAATAATAGTCGAAGTTAATATCCTTAGCATTTGCTGTACTTAATAGCTGGTTATTGATCAAAATGAACACTTTCAAAATGAACAAATTTTATCGCAACAATATTTGCGACTTAGGTTGGAAAAAAGAAAGATAGCTCATACTATAACACAAGCTATGCTTGTGCAAATAACGGAAGAAACTTAAATACCTGACGCTTCAGCGCATGCTCAAGTTCGACTCGGATGGAGTTAAAGTTCTGTTCGTAATCTGCCAGCTGCCTCTTCAGTTGATCATTCTCGTGCTTGGAAGACTTGAACGAAGATTCAACTCTCATTTTTTCTTCTTTCAACCTGAATATTTTATCAGTTCATTTCCAAGTTACTGATTCTCAGTCAGTTTCAAAGTTTTTGATTGAAAAACTAATTCTTCCATAGCAAGATTTCACAAATTCACTTCCAAGTTCACTAACTATTTTGTTATCCGAATAAAAGGGGTTTAAAACATATTTTCAACTAACACATTTAGCTTGAGACAATTCATCATTTCTGTTTTTTCTTTGACAAACCATACCAATTTTACGAACTTATAAAGAAGATCTAGCTAACAATTTCCGATAATTTCGTCTAGACGCCAATTTCTTCCCATTGAGAAAATTCATCAGCCCCAATAATTCAGCATATCATTTCTGAGCCAAAAAAACTCTGCGCACCAAATACAATTGGCAACTAATTCTTCTCGCAATACTTGCATTATTAGCTCCTGAGCCAACTGGCCGTTCTCGTGTTTGCTGTTTTCATAGCTCCTGATAAGGTCGCTAAAACACATCAAAGTAATTTTAACCAACACATCACATGTCTTCAAGAGATTCATTGATTACCTTGGCAGCCTATTTGAGTCATTTGATTACATTAAGATGCTACTTGTACTTGGTTCCACAGTGCAACTTGCTATATTCTTTGCTTTTAGCTTTTCAAAAACGAATAGTACTGCAAGAGTGTCCTCACGTGAGTTGGTTTGTTATTTTCTCAGTCTTGTCTGCCATCCGGTTCTTCTCACTCGTTTCCTTCATCAACTGATTCTCCAGCTCCTCAACTCTTTTCTATAAAACACAATAACAACCGCGTTATATTCGAATACGCTAAACTGGTAAAGAGCAGTGGTGAAGTGGTTACGTATCCGCCTCTTAATTGAAAGGTCGGATGTTCGAGGACCACCGTGAACTGTGCTCGTTTCTCGAGGGTGAGGTAACTTTACCCAGCCCAGAAAAAACAGCCAAAAAATTGCATGTAGTTCTTAAGCAGGGGCACAACAGCGGTTCTCCGTGATGTGCTGAACAGCTCCTATGTTGCCCTTTCCCTGTTGGACAAACACTTTTAAATCTTAAATTAAAGAGATATAAAACTCATTGCAATGGATGCCTAGGTAGCGCTAAGCATCCGTTAACAATTAACTGAAATATATATAGATTTAGCCACAGAGGCGGGTTTTAGAAAATAATATCGAGCATAAAAGCTTATCGTGTCAATAACTTTTGGATCTGTTACAATTACCATTCAAACCAATCCTACAATACTAATCACCTTCAAAAATATACTAACAATCAGCTCTGCTTGTTTGTCGTCTGCGCAGACCACGAATGTATCGAACTCGTCCTTGGTGTGTTTCCAGTCTGACTCAACTGCCTGGTTGTCTTTAACCATTTCTGCTACTTTTTCCTCCAGTGATTTGATCAGACTAACGCAGAAAATTTAAACATAGCCACCATAGTTTCAAAAGTGTTGACTCAACGAAATAATACTTAAGGAAACAAGACTGCTCGTATCAGGGCGAAGCCCTGAATGTTCCGACTGCCTATTAAGCTTTATGGAACAGTAATAAAATTGAAGAAATTTTAAAAAATGAAACAAAATGAACGCCATACAAAGTACAAAAGGATAGATGTCGCTACTTTTAACAAATCAATTATGGCAAATAAGCTTCGTTAAACCAATTTGGAACGATTTCTAAGACAGATTAAATCTCGCTTACGCGTTAATAGCGCGAAATATATCGCGCGTTAATTGTCCCAAATTGGCCAAAATGGCAATCTTTACACCCCCATAACTTAACGAAAAATGATCACAGGTGAAATATATTTTCAAATTTGAGCTCAGGACAACAATACCTTTCGAATGATAAAACAATTCCGTCAAAAATGGCTAGTGAAAAAGTCGAAATTTGCCTGAAAAAAAACCCAGCCCGAGCACAAATATTCCGGTACTTTCGTATCGAAAGTCAGAACAATAATACATTAACAGATTTGGTAAATTTTCATTACAGTAAAAATTCCTTAAATCAGATATGCAATTTTAAGTAAGGCGACAAAATTCAAGGAGATAGACTGAAGTCCGAAAAATCGTTTTCCCCAGAAAAAATATATTTTCAAACAGGGGCGTATCTAGGATTTTCTCGACGGGGGGGGGGGGGGGGGGATTTTCAAAAATGTTCGAAATTTTTGTCGACCTTTTTTTGAGGTCGAACGAATTGATTTTTCGAGCTCTCCCTAAGCACGGTTTAGTCCCTGTTTTGCCAAATTTTCTGCGCCGCAGGCAAAATTTTGAAAAAGCTGTCCAGAAAAGGCGTTTTTAGGCACTTTTTCGAAAATTTTGACAAAAAATCGCGTTTTTTCGGCGCGCACTCCCCTCTCAAAATTATTATATTTTAGGGTAGGTCGGCCAAAAATGGATTTCTTAAAAAGTACCAAAGGGGGGACCTTTTGGGTCGGCAGTGGGTCGAATCCCTGAGAGGAGGGCGTAACCCCCCCCCCCCCAATCCGCCCCTGTTTCCAAACATTGAAAAAAACAAGGTCCGGCGGGGACTCATACCCCGCCCCTTAGGAACCCACCGCATGTGCCATTGGAAATTTCCTAACACTAGCCACTAATGATGCAGCTATAGATGCTAATAAATTGCCAGAGGTATAAAGAAAGAATGCCAACAAATATATATAAAACTAGTGTTAAGTACCGCGTTGAACCTCCGACAAGTAGCTTCGGAATCTCACGTACTTTCCTCTGAGCCACGGACGCTTGAGTTACGACAAACACTTTTCACCGATAAATAGAGGACAGATGCTATGAAATTACAGACCATGATTACAGCATAAGGGCTACCGAATAAGTAAACACTTTATTTGCGACTTGAGTTGGAAAAATAAAGTTGCATCGTACTATCACACTACGCTCCACTTGTGCAATGATGTAAGGCACTAGCGAATTACTTCTCTGAAATGGTTTAACCCGGCTCCAAATTCTAGGCGAACTTGACTCCACACATATTCCTCGAAATTTTTAAAATTGCAATTTTTCTCGCCTTGTTGAATTAAATAACTCTTACTTGTTCTGGTCAGCAACCTTCTGAGTCAGAGCATTTTTCTCAGTCTTCAGGCTTTTGTTCTCTGCTATTATACACTCCAATTTATTCTCCAGAGCATCTTTTTTGTCTGAGTACTCTTGTCTGCGCATATCCATTTCGTGCTCGAGTTCTTTCCGAGATGAAACTTCGTTATTCAATTCTCCTGAAATATCGAGATTGCTTTTAAAGTTCAATTAAAAGTTTGACAGATTTCGAAAAAAAAATTCGAATACAGTTGAAATCAGAAAAATTTTCAAATGAAACTATTATGATTGAAATCACGTCTTGAAGCAGTTTTTCATTTAATTAAAAACCTAACCGAAAATTTTCTTAAAGATTTCGGTTGCTACGTTGGTCGGAGCCATGCCTGAACATAAGATGGAAATGGAGACACAATTTTTGATTCCATCTTTTCCTTAGTTAAATTAAATTCCAAAACTTGCAAGACGGTGTCAAATTCGCTGTCATAGAAAATACTTCGTGGTTGTTAAGAAAAATCCAAAATACCGTCTGAAAAATATACCGGAAACTTTCGGAATATTTTTAGACGGAACACAGTGACACTGCCAATATAGCATGTTTTTTTTTCACCTCTGAGCTTGTTCAAGGCGTTGTTGACAACCTTGAGTTGCTCTTCTCTTGAGTTCAGATCAGCCGTAAGGTTCTGAATTTTGGAGACTGATTGGAAATCCTGGTTCTGTTTACCCGCTTCCACTCTTTCTAGCTTTGATTTGAGAACGGTATTCTCAGACAGTAGTTGACATATTTCATCTGTATATTTTGACGAGAATGATACCTTCTCGCTCTCCAGATTCTTCACACGTTTCCGAAGTTCCTTCGCGTGAGCTAAAAAAATACATATTAAAGTTGAACTGTCAGCTAGTTTTTCAACTATAAATCAAATAGAATTCAGACCAAAGGGCCTCCCTTTAGTATTATTTTATGCCATCAATTTTAGGCCGACCAACGCTTAAATTTTGCTAAAGGCGCCGCAAAAAATGCAATTTTCCGGCCTAAACCATCCATTAAGTGCCCTCAAACGGAATTTTTGACCTACTTTTTGAAATTTTGCCGCCGGCGCAGCAAATTTTGTCAAAATACGGGTCTTTATAGTAATAAATACGATCAACCTAAAAATAATAGGTCGAAAAATCTTTGGAAAGGTTTTTTTTAATATCTCCCGAGAAAAAATCCAAGATCCTCCCCTGATTACAGGTAAACTAATAGCATCAAAATATTGCATTCATCTGCCACTGCAAAAGCCCTGATAAGTTGAACCACGAATAGTCTGAAACAAACTTTTTTGACGTAGTAAAGCTTTGCCACTTATAGGGGCTATTAAATAATATCAAAGGTCTCTCTCGGAGTTATCCCTTGTGAACAGTTCTAAGCTTTCTGAAATTTAAAGGTATCGATCTTGAAGAAATTCAGTTGCTACGACTATAGATAAATTTTCTATAGCTGCTTATAGCTTGCACATAAACCCAGGGGCGGATCTAGGATTTTGTCAAGATTGAGGGGATGGATCAATCATTTTGAAGACATTTTTTAGGTCCCAATACATTTTCTGAATTCCCGTGTCGAGCTAAGAAAACGAATTTGGTCCACATTTATAAAGCGCCGGCAAATTTAAGCAAGTCCGCTTCTGCGTATACCTATTTAGCACTTCGTGGGGATAGCAAAGTGAACCAGAATATTTAGGTTATCCCATTGTCTTCTTCATACCTGTTTCCGAGTCACACTCCTTCAGCAGCAACTTGTACCTCTCACTCAACTTATGCGCCTGAATTCTAACTTGCTCTTCAGGCATGGAGTCGAAGTCCATTTCTGCCCCCATTGTGAAACTGGACACCGAGCAGGTAGTCGAGATATCGTCATCATCTTCGCCCAATGCTCTTGGAGTATTGTTGTTGTCGGCTGAACTGATGCCACTGGAATGTTCTTGCACTGCCGTGGCTACCATTACAGTCTAGAAACGAATAAAAAAGTAAGAAAAAAGTTGCTGTGCAAGTAGCAAAGAATGTTTCGATCAAGTCATTTAATTGTAATAAAGAAAACATCTGAAAAACAAATAAGAAAAAAGTTCGTGATTTAGTGGGTTATTCAAATAACTATAGCTGAAAAAATTCAAGAATTCCCAAAGTTTAAAATCTGAAAGATTTGACTGAAAAACGACAAATTTTCACCGGCATTAGGCATATCTTATGATTTTTTCAAATTTTCTGGTCACGGATGAAACCATTTTATCAAGATACCATATGAGCTTTCTTTTAAGTAGTCAAAGTGCGTCAAAAAAACAACTTACGCCATAATTATTTCCCACCACTTTTGGGGTGTATGTCGGACGACCAACAAGACTGCTAGTATGAGGGTGAAACCTTGAATGGAATGATCCGACTGCCATTTCGATTACTAATGAATGTTTTCGATGACAATAACTGATGAGATTTATCAGATATTTTGGACCACCATTTTTTTCCAAGAACGAAGTGATCAATTTCGCGTTTACTTATTGATTAATTAGACCAAATAGCTTGCTTCCACTTAATTTGAAACTTCTCTGACGGATCAATTCGCTACTCACTCGTTATAACGAAACACATCGCTTGGTAATTGTCCCAAATTCGCAACCTTCAAACCCCATAATTTTGCGAAAAGTGATCACTGGTGAAATATTTTTCACCAGTGACCACCCCATAGCTCATGAAAACTTATGAGCTCAATGCATCAACATCTTTCAGATTATTTAAAAAAATTCGATCAAAAGACGTTAGCTAAAAAGTTTGCAGATGAAAAACTACCCGAGCACAAATAATTCGTCATTTTCTTCGAACAATGACACCAGGTTGCTGAGCCATAGCTGTACCTAAGCAAGGTGAAAATAAAATACACAGGGTGTTTTTCCAACTTTCCAACTGATTTTGACTTAGTGAAAAAAATTTCGTACGGGACCAAATGTGGTATCAAATATAATTCCTATTGGTAGTGCGGATCTCTTTAACTATTGCCCCTCTCCTTATGGCACCTAGTGCCCCTCCCTTTGCTAGAGTGCTAAATCAATCCTCCAATCTTAGGTATTTAGTCTACAGACCTTTGGGGAGTTGGCAGAAGGCAAGCTAGACTTCCGATTACGGGCGAGCTTGGGTGGAAGGATTTTTAGCACGAGAGCTTCCAGTCTCTCTTCCACGTACAGGCATCTGACAATTGTATGATCACGCATGCTTCTTGGAGCGATATTTTTGCAAGCTCTTAGCACCTTGTAAGTTCTTGGACACTTACGGCACTGATAAAACGCTCGGGTCAATTGCAGGGTGTATCTTTTCTTCTGCAGTCGCCTCTAGTTCTTCCTCATCTGGTGACTTTCGTTCTACTGTTACTGATTGTTCTTCGCCATTAAAAGTGCACTGCGGGTAGGCTGTCTTAAAATGCGCTTTCAGCCACCTGAGTGTCTTGTATTGCACTTTGCAACCTTTTGCTGGGAACTTTAGATCCTTTGGTACATCTACGCTAAAAAGTGACATGGCGAGTGTATCTAACTCATCTAGCGCATCATTATCAATTCTGAGATGTCTCTGCATCTCCTTTCTTTCAGCAAACTTTCTGTTACAATTTCCAAATTAACAATCGACTATTTGAGGGTGTGAGTCGAATATTCCAGATTTAATGCTCTGATCCATCTTTGCCGCACACCTTGCTTTTTGGTCGAGTGAGGTTACTGGTTCTACTTGAAGCCTCTTGATTGAAACCCACAGGTTTGCGCTTCGTACAGCCTTTTCTACTTCAATGCTTTTCAACTGAACTTTCTCTGCAATTTGGACGTTAGCACATGTCCTCTTGCAGTCCAACTTGAGGATCATTTACCTGGACTTGTTCAGAAGTGCATTTAGTTTGTCAAAGTCGACTTTTCTGATGACTGCAGTTTCAAGCCCGTAGAGTAGTGTTGGGTTAAAAAGTCTCCACTAACAGCACTTTCGTTCTCATCCTAATTGAGCCACTTACTTCTCACAATTGCCTCAATCTCACAATTGCATTTCTAGCGTTTCTTCAATTGTGTGCAATTGCTTCGCCAATGTATCCCTCCGCATTTAGCGAGCTGCCCAGGTCCAAAGAAATTTACTTCCTTAACTTTTTCGCCATTAAGGTAAAAATCATTTGATCCTTCTCCATTCACTACAACCATCTCGATTTTACTTAATGAATCTCCATTCCTGATTCAGAGTATCAAGACTTCCCTGTGCCTCTTCAATTGTGCCGGACATAATCACTAAATCATCGGCATATGGAAGATGACCGATCGCTGAGCCTCTTTTCACATCTTTCTGGCACACTTCCTCAAAAACTAGATTGAAGAGAGGGGCTGATTAGGCACCCATGTCTCACTCCTCTCAAGTACGAACTTGTTCTGCTTGTCTAAAACACATTCAGCCTGCGCATGCAGCTGCCAAATGATGCGACTCAGAGGGTTACCCAATTTTCGACTTCTTAGGGCTGTGAACAATGCTGTCTTGTTCACCGAATCAAATGCTTTTACAAGATCTATAAAGACCAGTATCAGCTTTTTCTTTGCTCCATGTTCCTGTTGGCTCTTACTTCTGAACCCGAACTGCATATTGTCAAGTGTTTGGTCCGTGCTTCCCTCGATACCTAGTAACGATGCTCGCCCTCCCCCCTAAAAAGAAATTAATCAACAAATAAGCATATGAGAATTTTACACCTAGGAGCGAATCTCTCCTTTTTGGAAAAAAGGGGAATAATTGAACAGATCCGGTCGTTCTTATAATTCCAGAAAAAAAAATCAAAAAAGTTTTTTGACGAGACTGGTCTGAATATTTCGCTATCGTCAGACCGAAATTGCTGAAAATTAACTTTCAGCCTAACTTAAAATTTCAGTTCAATTTTGTTTCAATTATTGACTAACTAGTTTGTGAAGTTCTTGATACCGCCCCATCAAAAAAAAAAACAATTCGTTTTTTTTAAATGTGGTCAGGTGATTTTGTGCTACCAGCACAGCAACCGGATATCCTCGATTAAATATGGAATGCAATTTAAACTTCTGCTATTTCTACCTTTTGCTGTTAAAATTACTAGTGAAAGGATAATTCTTTTTAACTATCGTTTGCTTAAATTACTAATCAATTTTTACGCATTTGAACCTGAATTCCGGGCTGATTTTCCTCGTTTAAAAAGACATTGAAGATGTTTAACATAGATATAAAACAATGGCAACATAATATGTTTTCACTAAAAGTTGGCTTAGCTAAATTCAAAGAAATTGAATTAGAACACAAATATCGAATATGAAATTGAAGAGGATTCTTGTGCCTCGAGAGCATTTGCACTCACGTACAGAAGCTTCAGGATCCATACGAAAATAGAAATGAAAAATTACTAATTCGTCATTTTTCATCAACGCTTTTTCTACAAAGAGCACCTCATGTCATAGTTATATGTCCAATTGTCAAATTTGAACACGACAATAAAACTAACAGCTCCGGTGGATTAAAATTTACACATCAAAAATAAGAGAAAAACGGTTGGTTTGAAGTTTTATTGGGACACCCAGTACTCGGGCTGAGTTTTTATTTTGGGTTATTTTCGACGGTTAGTCGCTAAACAAAATGATCAATGAAGATATGACTGTGCTGTTCTACAAGTGATTTCCAATTAGGTTGTGCTTTGACAGCGTCTGAGTTTTTCTTGATGAAGTCCAATGCAGTGTTGATTAGTTCGGACGAGCATCCATGCATGTCGGCTATGATGAGAACCTCTGCCGCGTTCTCCACTGTGATGTTGGATTTCAGGAAGTTTTGACACTCTGATTTCAGCCCAGGCACATCGTACTTATTTGCAATCGCGATCAGGTCCAGTGCCGTCCTATAAGAAGAGTAAGTTAAACTAAAAATTAGGTCATATCAAAGCTCTTTTTAGACAAAAAAGAATATAAAATGATAGGAAAAACAACTTAAAAAACTAGCTTGATAACAAAGACAGGCGCGGATCTAGAATTCTCTCTCCCAAATCACTATGAAGACCCTTCATTGACCTTGTATTTTCTGCGGCGCAGGCAAGTATTTAGAAAACAGGCCAAAAAGGCGTTTCTAAGCACTTTTTAGAAAATTGTACCTATTGGCGCCAAAAGCGCCTTTAGAAAAATGGTAAGGTCAGTCAGCCAAAACTGTATATCTCAAAAAAAGTATAAAGGTAGTGGGTAGAATTCCTGATAAGGTGGAGTCTGCCCCCCCCCCCGCATATCATAAAAAACCTTAGCTTTCACGTCCTACCTGTCTTCTAGCTTTGTGTCAAAAAGGTTTCCGGTGTAAAGATATTTGAGAAAAATGCAGAATGGTCCATATTTGCAGTCGTCGATTGTAATACAGCCAGAGGTGCTCTCAGCTGTGTTCGGGTGAGCTAACATAGCTCGGAAGACTGGTGATCTCGCCACTAGCACCGCTTTGTGTGTCTGGATCTCCTTGGAGTCGACAACAACCTGGAAACAATCACGTTTGATGATACACTGTTTGAGTATCTAATGTATAAACATTTTGTTCACAACTTTATTCAATTAGAAAGCTTCAAGTGTTCAGAATTTTTTTTCAAAAAATCGAATTGAAAAAAAAACCCCAAAATCCCAATCCATATCAAATTATATAGTTAGCTCTGAAAACTCTGCTAATCAACCGAAAACTCAACAACAAACATACTTCAAAATCAGTACTCTGTCCTGACTTGTACAGAGCCTCCCAATCGTCGTATAACCTTGCATCAACACACGGTTTCTTAGGTGACGAACACTCAAGTTTACTCGTTTCCGATTCCGAAATCAAAATGATTTTGTGGTGAACTGTCAGGACATCATTGGGAGCATATTTGTCAGTGTCGTTTAAGTACTCGTGTGACATGAATTTCTTGAAGCAGACTCCGAACTGATTCGCTCCTTCCAGTCTTTTTGGTGGTGTCTTTTTAGTGAAGCATGGGTTGCCGTCTTTGTCCACTATTGCAATTTCAAACTTGAGTGTTTGATTGGACGAAAACTGGATTACTTTGACAAAAACCTGCAGTAAAAGAAAAAAATGTGAGCTACACATAGATTTACTCATTCTCCTCAGCGATACACCTCAAACTAATACTATGAATTCAAACAAATAACTCTTTTTTTTCTTGCAATGCGGAAGTAAGTAATCGAAAAACTGAAAACTGAGGAGCATAATATTCACAGGATCATTCTAGTCAATTAGATGACAAAAGCCAAACCTCTTAAAACTTAGCTTCTAATATGCTGGATGAATCTGTCCACGGTGACGACATTCTCATCCGACCAATTAAAGACTTATTGTTTTAACCAGAAAAATGACCAAATAATGACCTCAAAAAAGACTATTGAAAACTTAAAAAGCTGCGAGAAGTTATTTCTTTTTTTAACAAGAATGCTATTTATCATTTCCATATGCCATATCATTCATTACCATAAAAAATCAAATTAACTCAACATCACTAACCAAATGACTTCAAAACATAGGCTACCCTGAGCAATATTTCCTGTCAAAGAAATAATGACCAAATACTGACTAATAATGACTGGTCATTAAATGATGACCACGTGGTCACCTTGAAAAAATCGCATCAATTATGATAGTTTGTAACAGTAGTTTCTAACATGTAATTTTTAAAATGAAAGTTTCTAGTAGTAGTTTACCTGTACGTAATTATTGGGCATCGAGGGTTCGCCTACCATCCCTTTCGGATAAATATGACTGGCCCAGCGCACTCCTGCGAACTCAAAAATAGGACTCTCTAGCTTCTCGTCATGTAGACAAACTGAGAAATTCTCAATCGACCACAAAACCGAATGGCACTTGACACTTCTCTTCGATACGTAGTGCTCGTTCGCATCCAGCGAATGACATCGCTTCAACGTGCAGCACTGGCCACAGTTCATTTGAACGATTACTTTACAAAATTTTCAATCAGAAATAGCAATTATTATTCGGATGAAAGGATAGATGTTTGATGCAATAATTAAATTAGCAGGTTCAGTAATGGTCTTTTGTTTCAGATAAACTCCATGACATAATTAGGTATCTGAAAACATCAAAAAAGTGACAATATTTAAGAATCAATTAATTATATTTCAATTAAACTGGCGTGTAACGCATCTCCGGTGCTTCAAATATTCGACAGCTCATAAAAACCCGCATATATTTGAAATCAGATCTGCATCCTTTGAGTGTACTCTGATATCGTCCAATTACAGAGTTGGTTATCTCAAATGTTGTGGAGTTTTTTTATATCTAAGTTCTTTGAAAAACCTTAAAGTGACATAAAAACGGCACATCTCGAAAAATAAAAGCAGCTGAGCAGTCGCAATTGAACGCAAGATTAGCAAATACTGGGAGAACTCTCACAGTTACCAACTACAGCGTTCGGAATTTCATGTACATCGGTGAAACACTCATGTAAGAGTTTATCAAGGAAAAAATTTCTAACTAGCAATTTTTCATAGAAAAATTATTCAAGCTAATTTGAACTCCTGATCAAGTACAAAAAAGAAAACAAATGACAAAATCCGAAACTTTCAAAAAACTAAAACAGCAGAAATGAATCAGTTATTTTGAAGGCAAACCATGGAAAAGACATGCTGAAAACTAGATCAAGGTGAAAAAGTAAAACATAAAATTGGTAAACAATTCATCAAACTACAAAACAATCTAGCAATCAATCAATGTTATGGATGGAAAAATCGAGCAAAAAACATCAGTCGAAAAAATTTGCCTGTAAACCATTCGTTTGTGAGATAATCATTAATAGAGATACTTACAAACGATGGAATCAAATCCATTAGGTAAATTCGATTCTGATACGATCGACGTTTGTTCAGATATCATCAAATCGACGAGAACTTCATCGCCCAAAAACTCATCAAAAAAATTGTCAACGAACAATGATGCAAGAAAAAATCAATTGAGCTATATTGATCTGTTTACAAAGAAAAGAAAAAATCAGTGAGATTTCATCATGCAAGAATTCAACGAGGAAAAAAGTCTACAAACAAAATTATAAGGAAAACTTTTGAGCTACTTTCGAGCTATCTTGTACCGTTTATCAAGTGAAAAATGCAAAATCCGCTAGGTTCATTGAACTAAAATAGCACAATTCGTCTTTTTTAAAAACGTTCCAAACACATGCTGACAATCAGATCAAGGTGAAATCATTTAACATGGAATCGGTAAGGAAGTCATCAAATACAAATCTATCTATCAATCAATCACGATCAATATCGGATGGATTTAAGAACAAGCAAAAACGTTTCAGGGGAAAAATCTGCCCAAACCAGTTTTGTGAGATATTCCCAAAATAGAGATATGAACAAAAAAGCAATGAAAGGAATTAAATAAGTCATAGTCTAATCAGATCACAATTTTATCACAAATCATAAAATCGGTGAGAAACTCATCATGTAAGAATTTATCAATGAAAAAATTTCTCAACTAGCAACTTTTCATAGAAAATTTATTCTTGCTAATTTGAACTCCTGACTGATCAAGTATAAAAAAAACAAATGACAAAAACCGAAAGTTTCAAGGAACTAAAACAGCAGAAATGAATCAGTTATTTCGAAGGCAAACCATCGAAAAGACATGCTGAAAATTAGATCAAGCTGAAAAAGTACAACATAAAATTGGTAAACAATTCATCAAACTACAAAACAACCTAGCAATCAATCAATGTAATGGATGGATAAATCGAGCAAAAAACATCAGTCGAAAAAATTTGCCTGTAAACCATTCGTTTGTGAGATAATCATTATTAGAGATACTTACAAAATATAAAGGAATCAAATCCATTCAGTTACTTCGATTCTGATACGATCGACCTTCGTTTAGATATAATCAAATCGGCAAGAACTTCGTCACCCAAAACTCAACAAAAAACTGTCAACGAACAATGATGCATGAAAAATTTATTCGAGCTAACTTGAACTGTTTATAAAGAAAAGAAAAAATCAGTGAGAGTTCATCATGCAAGAATTCAACAAGGAAAAAAGTCTACAAACAAAATTATAACGAAAATATCGGGCTATCTTGTACCGTTTATCAAGTGAAAAAGGCATAATCCGCTAGGTTCATTGAATTTAAGTAGCAACGATTCATCTTTTACAGGGGAAAAGGTTCAAAACACATGCTGATAATCAGATCAAGATGAAATCACTTAACAAGGAAGTCATCAATTACAAACCTATATATCAATCAATCACGATCAATATTGAATGGATCTAAAAACAAGCAAAAACGTTTCAGGGGAAAAAATCTGCCCAAACCATTTTTGTGAGATAATCACGAAACTAGAGATATGCACAAAAAAGCACTTAAATAAGTCCTAGTCTAATCGGATCGCAATTTAATCACAAATCATGATATCGGGGAGAAACTCATCATGTATCAATTCAACAAAAAAAAATTTCTCAACTAGCAAATTTTCATAGAAAATTTATTCTTGCTTATTTGAACTCCTGATCAAGTATAAAAAAAAAACAAATGACAAAAACCGAAAAATTCAAGGAACTAAAACAGCAGAAATGAATGAGTTATTTCGAAAGCAAACCATCGAAAAGACATGCTGAAAATTAGATCAAGCTGAAAAAGTAAAACGTAAAATTGGTAAACAATTCATCAAACTACAAAACAACCTAGCAATCAATCAATGTTATGGATGGAAAAATCGAGCAAAAAACATCAGTCGAAAAAATTTGCCTGTAAACCATTCGTTTGTGAGATAATCATTAATAGAGATACTTACAAAATATAAAGGAATCAAATCCATTCAGTTAATTCGATTCTGATACGTTCGACCTTCGTTTAGATATAATCAAATCGGCAAGAACTTCGTCACCCAAAACTCAACAAAAAACTGTCAACGAACAATGATGCATGAAAAAGTTATTCGAGCTAACTTGAACTGTTTATAAAGAAAAGAAAAAATCAGTGAGAGTTCATCATGCAAGAATTCAACAAGGAAAGAAGTCTACAAACAAAATTATAACGAAAATACCGGGCTATCTTGTACCGTTTATCAAGTGAAAAAGGCATAATCCGCTAGGTTCATTGAATTTAAGTAGCAACGATTCATCTTTTACAGGGAAAAGGTTCAAAACACATGCTGATAATCAGATTAAGATGAAATCACTTAACAAGGAATCGGCAAGGAAGTCATCAATTACAAACCTATCTATCAATCAATCACGATCAATATTGAATGGATCTAAAAACAAGCAAAAAAGGTTTCAGGGGAAAAAATCTGCCCAAACCATTTTTGTGAGATACTTACGAAATTAGAGATATGCACAAAAAAGCAATTAAATAAGTCCTAGTCTAATCGGATCGCAATTTAATCACAAATCATGATATCGGGGAGAAACTCATCATGTATCAATTCAACAAAAAAAATTTCTCAACTAGCAATTTTTCATAGAAAATTTATTCTTGCTAATTTGAACTCCTGATCAAGTATTAAAAAAAACAAATGACAAAAACCGAAAGTTTCAAGGAACTAAAACAGCAGAAATGAATGAGTTATTTCGAAGGCAAACAATCGAAAAGACATGCTGAAAATTAGATCAAGCTGAAAAAGTAAAACGTAAAATTGGTAAACAATTCCTCAAACTACAAAACAATCTAGCAATCAATCAATGTTATGAATGGAAAAATCGAGCAAAAAACATCAGTCGAAAAAATTTGCCTGTAAACCATTCGTTTGTGAGATAATCATTAATAGAGATACTTACAAAATATAAAGGAATTAAATCCATTCGGTTAATTCGTTTCTGATACGATCGACCTTCGTTTAGATATTATCAAATCGGCAAGAACTTCGTCACCCAAAACTCAACAAAAAGTTGTCAACGAACAATGATGCATGAAAAAATTATTCGAGCTAACTTGAAATGTTTATAAAGAAAAGAAACAATCAGTGAGAGTTCATCATGCAAGACTTCAACAAGGAAAAAGTCTACGAACAAAATTACAACGAAAGCTTTCGGGCTATCTTGTACCGTTTATCAAGTGAAAAAGGCATAATCCGCTAGGTTCATTGAATTTAAGTAGCAACGATTCATCTTTTACAGGGAAAAGGTTCAAAACACACGCTGATAATCAGATCAAGATGAAATCACTTAACAAGGAATCGGCAAGGAAGTCATCAATTACAAACCTATCTATCAATCAACCACGATCAATATTGAATGGATCTAAAAACAAGCAAAAACGTTTCAGGGGAAAAAATCTGCCCAAACCATTTTTGTGAGATACTCACGAAACTAGAGATATGCACAAAAAAGCAATTAAATAAGTCCTAGTCTAATCGGATCGCAATTTAATCACAAACCATGATATCGGGGAGAAACTCATCATGTATCAATTCAACAAAAAAAATTTCTCAACTAGCAATTTTTCATAGAAAATTTATTCTTGCTAATTTGAACTCCTGATCAAGTATAAAAAAAAACAAATGACAAAAACCGAAAGTTTCAAGGAACTAAAACAGCAGAAATGAATGAGTTATTTCGAAGGCAAACCATCGAAAAGACATGCTGAAAATTAGATCAACCTGAAAAAGTAAAACGTAAAATTGGTAAACAATTCATCAAACTACAAAACAATCTAGCAATCAATCAATGTTATGGATGGAAAAATCGAGCAAAAAACATCAGTCGAAAAAATTTGCCTGTAAACCATTCGTTTTTGAGATAATCATTAATAGAGATACTTACAAAATACAAAGGAATAAAATCCATTCGGTTATTTCGTTTCTGATACGATCGACCTTCGTTTAGATATTATCAAATCGGAAAGAACTTCGTCACCCAAAACTCAACAAAAAGTTGTCAACGAACAATGATGCATGAAAAAATTATTCGAGCTAACTTGAAATGTTTATAAAGAAAAGAAAAAATCAGTGAGAGTTCATCATGCAAGACTTCAAAAAGGAAAAAAGTCTACGAACAAAATTACAACGAAAGCTTTCGGGCTATCTTGTACCGTTTATCAAGTGATCAAAGCAAAATCCGCTAGGTTCATTGAAC